GATGACCCCTCCTTAAGGGCAAAAGATTCCATAGTGAGTGTACTTTTAGCGCATGTTGATGGTAAACTAACAAAACCCCACCATAATCTATTTGGACTTGAAGGCACACACAGGAAAAGCAGGCACAGAGGAACATGTTAACCAACAGCACGAACTGGCAATGCGGAATGGACATCTTGATCTCTGCAGATCCACCTGACATCTGCAACAGTCAAGGGCATTACAAGAAAAAACCACAAGTGGGATGAAGAAAACTTAAGGGACATAATAACCAAATAGCCATATACCCAACTATAAGTCCTGGTTGGACAAACCACCTGTCAACAGATGTTTTCGGAACTACTGCGGAAATTTAACTAGGATGTCAATTTCTTTAGGTGAGTTAATAACATGATAGTCATGTAAGAAACTGTCTTTCTGTTTTAGACAGGGGTGTTCTAGTAAATGTTTAACAACCAGCTCTCTGGGGTGGGGAGGGGGAAAGGAGTCCTGGTTTGTAGTGTTTGCCAATTTCCATGGTGCAAATACTCCCACCATGGTTGATTTCAAGCTACCAAAGCGATGTCACTGAACACACCGTTGGCAAGAGAGGTGCACAGTCAGGTCTTAGCTCTGGCACCTCATTGGTTTTAGAGGGGACACTGAAGTATGCTCTGGTGAAACGACAAGATGTCTGGCACATGTTTTGAAGCAATTCAGTCGTGATTTTAGAGAGCAGATGAAGGAACTGGTACAAAATATTGACAACTGTTGAATCTGAGTGATGCACATATGGGCTTTATGATACCACGACTCTCCTCTGCTGTGTATATTTCAACATTTTCACAATAAACAATTTAAAACTGCAATCATCTTATACAGATATATAGAAGGAAGACTTCTATTCCAAGAATTCTAGCTGCACAGATTGGTTCCTGGACTCCTACCTGAACTCCACAGCCTCCCAGTGGGCAGGAGGCAAAGAATGAGAACCACAGGCATTGACATCACCCGCCTGAAGTCCATCTACCAACCCATCTGCAGTGATTGCCAAGGTTACTCCATAGACCCTGTGCTAGGCAGAGGTGGAAAGAGAGCCCCCAAAAGAAAAAGTCACCTGGGTCCTTACTAGAAGTCCTGGCCGTACCATCTGCTAGTTGCATGATCTTGGGCAACTTAACCCAACCCTCTGAGCCTCTATTTTCTCATTGGCCAAATAAGGGTACTATTAACTTCTGGTAAAGACCAAATAGTGTGTAGACACAGCTCCTGACATGTTCTGTGACACAGAACGTAAGGTGCTCAGGAAATAGCTCCTTCCTTCCTTCCTAGGGCTCTGACAGGTATTGTAGGGACATAAGTGAGCCGTTAAAAATGTGGTTTCCAACTAATGGCAAAAATTGCTCTTCTTCAGCCAAGACTATAGGTCCCCTATTGCCAAACCTCCCATTTTTCATGAGAAACTGGGGATCTAACTTCTTAAGTGAAATCTCCCAATCTTGAAATATTATCAACAAATTCATGCATTTAAAAACACTGTGCAGGCCAAGCAAAACACCGCTGCAGACCACAGGTGTGTCAACTTCGGGTTTCAACCAGAGAACAAGACGAAGAGCTGACATCCGTGGGAGCCTTGCTCAACATTCCCTGAAGCTGGGTCTGTGCTCTGAAGCCTTTACATGCATTATCTCATTGACATCTTATGATCCCCTTGAAGAGATGAGGAAACTGAGGTTCAGAGAGGTGAAGAGTTCTGTCAGGGCTGGGAACAAACACAGGTCTTCCCCAGAACTTGACATTCCATTCCCTTGCTTCTCTAGATTCCAACAGGGTCTTTAAGAAGCAAGTGCTGGCCCCAGATAGGGGCAGGGACTGACCCAGGGTCACACATTGATGAATGGCTGGCTGGGATGGGCCAGGTCCCCATTCTCTTCCTGGTCAGCATGAATACACAGCGTCGGAGGAGATGGCTATCTAGCTCTGCCTCACCAAGCCCAAGACAGTGCAGGGTAGGATCTCTTTCTATCTTCTTGAAAGATGCATGCATAGGCATTAAGAATGTTCTAAACCCCAAGCCTAGGCTCCCAGTTTCTCCGCCTCAAAACTCTGGGAAGTTGGACTAGAAATCCCAGTCCCCAGTTGGTCAGACACTCCATTACCAGGTGTCTCCAGGACTGGGTTGGAGACATGTCCAACCACATGGCTTTGGACCCATTCCCTGAGAGCCGGCAACAATTTAGACATGCTGTATGTGATTCTTTCTGATTAAAAACTTGGCCAGGTTTCCCCTTCCTCAGTGATTTTTCATAGTTACTAAGGAAGGAGAACGCACTCAGAAAGTTAAGGAATTGGTCCCTTCGAGAAAGTTCCGTTTAGATCCCATTATGTGTAGGATATTCAAAGTGCTGGCATAGAGAGGGGATGCAGAGTGGAGCGGCTCCACTTCATAACTTGAGGACTGGTAGTAACTTTCAGGAGGTGCCTAGAGAAACTCCATAACTTTCCCCTTCTGGACCCAGAAATTCATCCTTACATAAGGAAGACGGTTGTGTCTTGAACAGCATAGTGGGAGCTCAGCACTCAGATGACCTGCTCCCAAACTCTGGCTGTGTTACCTACTAGCTATGTGGCTTTATGCAATCCATTTATCCTCTCTGTGCCTCAGTTTCTCCATATGGAAAATGGAATAACAATTATAGTACTTAACATGTATCATAAGGCTGCTAATATATCTTAAAGCCCTTTAGAGCCACCGCTGGGCTTCACCACCTGTAGATGGGACTGACAATAGCATCTATGTCCTGGAGTGTGGTCAGGATTACATGAGCTCAATGCATTTGGGACAGTGGCTGGCACCTAGGAAACACCAAAGCATGCTCACTACTAATGCTAACAAGCTATTGGCAAGAGAACTTTTCAATTAATTTGTATTTATATCTTCACAGTTGAGCTGTTCTTGGGAGTGAGAAGAGCATTTCCTCAAAGGGACCTTCCCATTAAGACTTTCCACTGACTCAGAGCAAAGGGCTCCTCCTCTTCCTTATCACCCTCAGGGTGAGCCTTTCTGGCCAGCGACTCCAGGCCCTTCCTTTCGGGGCTCAGCCCGTCCAGCTCTCGGGCTCACACCCACCACTGCTGCACCCCAGGAGAAGGCAGTCAGGCAGGTCACATTGTCCCCACCTGATGGATATAGACACTGAAGGTTCTGTACCTTCCCGAAAGTCAAGGGTCATGTGCTTTGGGACAGAGACTGAAGCCCTAACACTAGAGTCCCGGGCTCAGGGTGACAGGGGGGCCAAGAACATGGCTCTGGAGTCCCAGGTCCACCACTTCCCTAAGGCAAGTCGCCCTGATTTCCACATCTGTCAAATGGGGCAATAACAGTCCCTATTTTCTAGAGTAGTTGCAAGGCTTGAATGAGTGAAAGCCTATCAAGCACTGAGAACAATGCTTGAGACACAAGGGCACCAAATGTGAGTGGGACCACACAGCCTAAGTGGTCCGGTACAGTCCTGGAGATGTGCCTTATACCCCAGCAAACCTTAGAGCCTCGTCACTCTTAAAAACATCCTGGTCTGGAAGCAAATTATACGGATACCCTAAAATAATTGCCCATTGCTGTCTAAATTATTTATTGTTGTTGTTGTTGTTGTTGTTGTTGTTATTTTCCACCATACCTCACTGAGTCTCTAGGAAGTGAATATGTAGGTTCATAATACTCACCAATTCAGCACCACCCTTAGACCGAGGTGAGCATAGCCCCTGCCCCCGGGGGACCCCACATTCTGGCCCTACTCCAGCTAACCTCTTGCCACAGGGAAGAGGAGCCACAGAGGCAAAGGGACATGCCCACCCAGAGCCTGTGCTGCCTCCACTAGAGCACCCTCCAGTGCTCAGGCCCCGGCATTCCCTGCACAAATGGCCACTGGCCCACTTCCAGGACCTGTGTATGTCTCTTCCCCAGATGTGGCCCGAGGACAAAGTGCACTACTGGTGTACCCAATCCTAAGCCTGAGGGGTGGCCAAGGGACAACTGTCATGGTGGGATGGAGAGTGGAAAGATGGACAAAGCTTGCAGACTGAGATGTCTTGTGTGTGCACAAGACCCTTTGAAGGGCAGGACAGAGGCAGAGGAGGGAAAAGGCAGGGGTGGGGGCTCAGGCCCTCTCTTTTCTCCTGCCATGCTTCGGGGTAGGGTCTGCGGAGTCTGAGAATTCCACACTCAGAGTTGGCCTTCCACATTGTTAAGAGACTATATTTGTCAAGGTAGAAGGATAGAGCATATTTTATTCCGCATTTTGTTAACTTGATTTATAACCTGCAAATATTTAGACATGTGGTATGTGAACCTCCATCTGTACTCTTGCCTGGCCCACAGATCCCTGCCACCTTCTACCCAGTCCAAAATTCCAAATGTTTAGTCAGCCCCTCCTCTGTGCTGTGACCAGGGGACCCCACGGAGTGAAGGGCACCATCCCAGCACCCAAACATGATGATCTCTGTGGGAGCAAACCTCATGTTTCCAAAACAGTGAAGAGCACCGGCTCGGGATGAGAACATAAGCCTGGTCTTTGCCTCTGTCCCCAACCCTTAATGAGGAGGATGGGTCCCTGCCTCTTTCTGGGCCTTAATTTCTCCATTTTGACAGCGATCCCTCTCGCTCGGAGTAGCTGGGGTACGCTACCTGCGGCAGGGTGAGGAGGACACGGAATCAGATCAGCGAATTGAGAGGGCGTGGCCTGGGCTGGGGCAGACAACTGTCACCGGTTACACTGGTATGGAATCGAGCTCTAAGGACCCGCCAGGCGCAGGCCAGTTGCAGCCTATTCCATTCATTCATTCATTCCACAAACATGGCAGCCACTCCCACTGTGCTCAAGACCAACAAGAGACTGAATCTGCCAGGTGTGGGAGGATAAATAACCAAAAGCAAAGCAAGCCTGGAGGGTGTTCTCAAAAGAAACCTTCCCTAAACTTCTTCCATCCTCCTAACCCCGGCGCGGTAAGTCCACTTCTCAGATGAGAAAACGGAGACTCAGAGAGTCAAGACCCTGCGGCTCAGGGCGCGCCCAGATCTTGTGGCTAGCCAGAAGCAAGGTTTCGGATTCCCTCAGTCTCGGGCCACTGTCCCAAGCTGCCCAAAGCTGGGGAGGCCCGGTCCAGCTCCCGGAAGGCTGGAGGGAGGTGAGCGCCAAGGAGGAGCTGGGCTGCGTGCGGGCCAGGAGGCAGGGAGGGGCCTGAGGGGCGGGGCGGGGGGGGCGGCGGGCAGCCGGCGGCCGGCGCGGAGCGTCCGGGTGCGCTTTCCCGGTGCCCAGAGCGTAAACGCCTGGGTGCGCGCGAGTGGCAGCCACGCTCGGGTCGGTCAGCCACGCTCGGGCCAGGGTCTGGGCTCCTAGGCGCCCGCGGGGGTGGGGGGAAAGGGGGGCAGCTAGGGCGGCGCTGCAGTGCCCATAGCGACGGGCTGGGGGAGCTGTGCCCGCCTGTCCCCAAGGTCCGGGCGGGGACCGGGCAGCTGGGTCGCCGCCCCCCTATCCGGGCTGAACTAGGCGGCGCGCAGCTGGGCGTGCCTGGAGCGGGCTCGGGCCCCGAGTCCTCCCGGGCGCCCTACCGGAGAGGCCCCTGGAGCAATTTAGTCCCGCGGGCTAAGGCGGCC